AAGAAAACGACTCTGAGGACGCTGAAGAAAACGGGGAGACCGATGGTGATGGTTCAACGTGATTATCAAAGGATCCTCATCCAAAAAATCTACCGCGAATCAGGGGACACCTTCTCATTACAAAAATCGGAAATAATAAGAAATGGAGATGTAAATTGTGCCATAAACCTAGTTCAACCTACCATCCAAAACAACAATCAAAATAAATATTTTTGGTTTTATATCTTATCTTTCAGTTTTTAAATAAAATGTTACCATAAAATATAGTAGTTTTCTTTTATGCAGCAGCAACGAGAGACATACAAGAGAAAAATAAAAATAAATACAGATAGACCCAGCGTGCGATTAATCGAACACCTAATATCTCCAAAACTAAAACTCGCAAAATTTTTTTGACCACAAATTCGAGTTCAGGGACCCAATTTTACCTAAATATGCAAATTTCATCATGATACCCGACAAAAAAAATTCCTTGGGCCGATATGGGTTAAACTGTACGATGTATTTCGTAAAGACAGAGACTCTGTAAAAATGGGTTGTACTAGGTGGTGTCCTTATCGCTGTCCACTGTAAATATCGTGCTTCATATAAAATCTTGGATAATCAGGACTCTCTTATTGATCAACTTTGCATCCGTATTCGTGGCGCTTTTGGACATCTGTTCGTTTGCGTTTCCTACATCCCTCCTGGTAGTTCTGAAAGCCTTTACAAAGTGCATGTGGATAATATTACGTCTTTAGTTTCTAATTCTAATAGTGATAGCCAATTTCTTGTCCTGGGTGATTATAATCTAGGCAACATTAAATGGTCGCAAGAATATAATGATACTACTCTTATACCCAATAATGTAAGCTATAGCAATGAATCGTATCTTGTTGACAGTTTTTTTGAGTATTGATCTCAAACAGATAAATAATATTTTAAATAAACTTAACAGAATTTTAGACCCTATATTTATAAGCAATAATATGAACTATTCTCTTAACGAATGTTTCTCTTCTATTTCTTCTTCTAGCTATCACCATGTTCCCATTTTTGTTAAAATTGAGTTCTACGAGTTCTCTCCAGCTACCTGTGATAATCATGATCTCTCTTTTAATTATAAATTGTGTAATTTTGATATCATTAATAACTTATTTTCTAATATTGATTGGGAGACGCTGTTTTTCGGTTTAGATATCTCAAGTTGCTTTAATGTCTTTAAATCCAAAGTGGCTGAAATAGGTCTCACTAATATTCCTCTGAATACAACGAGACTATATAAAATACCATGGCATACCAAAAATTTAAAGAAATTAAAGAACCTTAGGAACAAATCCTTTCGTAAATTCAAAAAAAGCAAACTATCAATTCATCTTTTGCATCCCGCATTCTGCCTTAGCCTGTGTTGCTTTCTTTTTTGATTTGTAGAAACTACTACTTAAAGACAAGGAGAAATATTGTCTTTGTATAAAAAGTTCAACAGGCAACACTGCCGTTAGTTTCATCGATTGTTTCGAGGAAATTGATTTTCTTATTGCGCAAATTCAAGTAAGCATTCCAAAAAAATCAAAAATAATGGAGCTATTTTGAATTAAAGAAATAATTTACATATTTCTTTGCAGAGTATCGGAGTTATGCAAAAATCTGCGTTTTACAGCAAGTGCAGCCGTTACCAATAAGTTTTGCGTGCTAGGATCTCTGTGTGTCCGTCCACATTTGGCTGGTGCAGTACACTGGGAATTACAGCTGCACCGATTTATTTGGTGAAGTGCAGCCATAACATACTTACAAGTAAGTATACCACCTCATAAAAGTGAAAGTGTAAATATCAATAAAGCTTTTATCTTGTGCAGGTCAGGATCACTTTGTGTGTCCGTCCACCAAATGTAATTCAATTTAAGATAATGAACATGTAATTTTTAAATGAAACAAATATAATAATTTTTTTTATTTTATACACATTGTTCAATTGCATCTTTACTAGTTGTATATTTCTTTATATCGCACACCGTCTTCAAAAGAGTCACAACTCAAAATAATACGTTTGTCAGAAAATGCAAAAAACTATTTCTTAGCACATGATAATCATATGGGCTAGGGCGACTTTACCTTAGGTTTTTTTTTACAAATTATAACAAAAATTTGATCCAGCTTTTGCTGAAAGATAAATAAAAGCTCTGTGTATATTTTTAGCGCATAATCTCAAAAATGCCAAATTTGGAGTTGTGACTCTTTTGAAGACGGTGTGCAATATAGTCCCTTTGAATAAAGGATTTGCTTGAATTCCATTAATTTTATTTAATATATACTGGAGCTTTAATGAAACCATGGTTTGTTTTGAATATTTGGGAATATTTGTCGATAAGATTTTTCTTTGATCAGATCTTTCTCTCATTCTTCATTTATTTAATTTTTAATATCTATATAGCATGTTTAATACACCATAAAAAAGTTAATTCATTGTCTATTGTGTAGATCAATGGAATCTGCTTCAATATTTTAATTCAATATAATATACAAAAAAAAGCATTTTAGCACTACCAGACTACTTTTCCTACTACCTTTTCACAAAAGGGGATAAAATGGTTACCCGCTTTCTCTTCCTTCTCAAATGCAACCTTACAAGGCAGTCGATTGACACAAATGTCAATATTTATCCAACCTTGTATTATTGAATCATGAGCAGGCATGGGCAGAGAGTTAGCAGGTGCTAAAAGAGCGTAAGCGTCGCGTGTACGTATACAAGCGAGAGCGCAGCGATGAGAACATTCTCGCTTTTAGCTCACGCTTGTTTTTGGTAGTGCCCACCTCTGATCATGAGTATACATACGCTCCCCAAGCATGCAGAGCGCCGCTCTGAGAGCCGTGACAACACACACATACATACATAGTACATACATATTTATCCGTACAAATTGCCTGCTGTGGTGTTGATGGATATTCATCATTTGAAAGCAAATTTATATGGCTGGGTGTAGCTGAGTGCGCAAAGATGCTTGCCACAAGTTGTTGATATCCGGAGATGGTCGAGTTCGAATTCCACCGGTTGCGACAGCAAACAGCCGGAAAAAACTCGATTTAGCCGGGAGCCGATTTGTTAGCCGTTTTGCAAAAAAAAAATTAGCCGATTTTGCTCTTCGCCTTATTTTATTGAAATTCAAATATACAAGTTTTTATTTTTACAAATTTAGTGCTCGAAAATCTATTAGAAATGGCTAGTCTTATCTCTGAGAAAATTTTCATGTCGGACTGTGTTATATAAAATTGAAAAACAATCAGTTAGTGAGCCGATTTCAATGTTTTTTGTTTTAAGCGAGTGACCCAAATACACATAAACTGGGACGCGTCATTTTAGCAGATTAAAAAGTTACAAGTTTTGCTGAAATTTTGCAGAATTTTCATAATTTTTACACCAAGTGTGAAATCTGTTTGTAGTATATGTGGTTTGTAAAGTAATGTGCTACATATTCATAAAAAATAATAAATATTAAATAAACTAAAGAATAAATAATATAAAAAAAAACTTCTTGCTTTCCACTCTTGGTTTTTTACATATGGCAACACAGTCCTGCTGCCATTTGCACATATTCTGCATGTACTCTCATAAAATTAAACAACAATCAATTTTTTATAAAAAAGCTGTAATTAAAAGTATTTATTTGTTTGAACGTGCACAATCTAACTGCGCATGTATTGAGTGTAAATAACGTGTAAATTTAGTGGAAAGTGCATTATATATTGTGAAATAGTCCAATACAAGTTGGTGAAAACTACAAACTTTAATAACAAATTACTTAAAAACTATAAAGTTGCGCGCTTTGAAACTTTATACAGGGAACTATTAGACCCCCATCTACCTCCCATATTTTCCTTAATGCTGAACTCCGGGGTTAGCAATCTAAAGCCCACCCTCCAAAAAATCTACCGCGAATCAGGGGACACCTTCTCATTACAAAAATCGGAAATAATAAGAAATGGAGATGTAAATTGTGCCATAAACCTAGTTCATATTTGTGCAAGAGATGCAATGTTGCACTTCATACCCATTGTTTTGAGTCCTAGCATCCAAAACAACAATCAAAATAAATATTTTTGGTTTTATATCTTATCTTTCAGTTTTTAAATAAAATGTTACCATAAAATATAGTAGTTTTCTTTTATGCAGCAGCAACGAGAGACATACAAGAGAAAAATAAAAATAAATACAGATAGACCCAGCGTGCGATTAATCGAACACCTAATATCTCCAAAACTAAAACTCGCAAAATTTTTTTGACCACAAATTCGAGTTCAGGGACCCAATTTTACCTAAATATGCAAATTTCATCATGATACCCGACAAAAAAACTCCTTGGGCCGATATGGGTTAACAAAAATAGGATATTACTTAAAAGAAATGGTTATGTGCATTAAAATCATGATGCAATAATACAAGGTGGTATCAGTTGTGACAGCTCGATTTGACACTCCTTAGCTCAGTAGAATAAGAAGAAAAACGGGAAGAAATTAATCCCCATTTGGGGGAAAAATATGAAATTTCATATTTTCCTCAATACAATTTTTATTTTTTTTATAGTATATTCGTAAAGAAATGAAATAAAGTAAGATAAAACACCTTTTTGAGAAAACAAAATGTGTATACTGGGAAAAAATCAACTATATTATTAGGCAAAGAATTGTTAAAGAAGTTACACTGTTTCACCTAAGGCAGTCAATATGGCGGAATTAGAGCGAGAAGTTGCCAACCGATAACACCTTGTATTATTGCATCATGAAGAAGAACAGTGTCTAAACAGTACTACTTGTACTTGTAGAAAATTAAAATATGAGATGCCATTGAAAATTCAGGTACAATGGGTAAGAACATAAACGTAAAATATATCAATAAATATACATATATGTACAACTTCGAAGTAGTTACGGAATTTAAATTATAATACATATACATAGCTCCCCCACGGGTACAGCTTCTAATTCACGTTTAATGGAAGTTGGGGCGGAGTCGGTTTCACCGCCATCACTTCGGCCTGATTTTAAAAAGGCAATGAAAAATTAAATAAACCTAAAAATGCCAAAGTCTTGCCCTATATTATGCGGCAAAATTTACCACTTTGCATTATTTGCAAATAATACTTTCTACATATTGCACATTTAACAATAAATAGAACTAAATATATGCATGACCAAAAAACAACTAGAAAAATACGTAGGTACATTCGCAATTTTTGGGTATATCAATTATCTGTTAGCTTGAAAATGTTCTCCTTATCAAGCTTAATTGTATATTAAAATCACCAAAAACATAAGTTTAAAATCAATCCTCTTTATTATTTTACGTGCAATATTTACTTTAAGATAATTATAATTATTTTAATATACATTTGTACATACATATAAAACTGATATCCCTCACCTGGTCATTTCTCCTATCGGAGGGAATGCATATAAAGGACATCTCAATGGACGATACAACTTTTGTTCACCATTTTGCTTCTGAAAAAATGCAGACAAAAAGTTATAACGACTATGTTGAAATAAATGTGTACATACTTATATACATATGTAAATGGCATACATTAAAATAACTTACCTAATGAATTGTTTCTACACGGTACCACTTGAGCAAAATGTGTAGTTCAAGAAGAATATGTATTAAAAATATTCAATTTTTCTATTGAAAGAAATTATTAAAAGCTCGAATGCCTGCGTCCATGATTCAATAATACAGGGTTGTGTAATTTGTGACAGCTAAAATTTGACATTCCTTTATCTAGATTTGTATTTTGGAAGTAGGAGAAAGGGGAAGAATGTGATCGCCTTTTGGGAAAACGGTGGAAGAAAGGTATTACAAAAAGTACGCAAAGTATACAATTAGAAGTAAAGGAGTATTATTAATTCTATGCGAATTTGCAATATATTTGGTGTTATAATGGAACTACTAAACAATACATAAAAATATGCATTTTTAATTTCAGTTATTCGTCATTTGCTGGAAGAAATCTAGAATACCGACCGTTCAGCTATGCAAAAACGAAAAATGCAGATCAATAGAACTTTTTATGCTCATTTCAACCAAGCCAAAATTATTTGGCGCAAGTGAAAAATGAACACGTTCTAGAAGGTTAAATTTCAGTTTTTAGATTTTTTAAATATTAATATCTTATGAACTATATAACCGATTAAAAAATTAATGACGTCACCACCAAGATAATTGATTTGTCTTTCAGCTGATGCACATAATTTATAGCTTTTTTCATTCTTAAACCAAAACCACTAAAAAACGAACAAATGTTATTTTTTCATGAAATAACCTTTTTTGAAAAACTGCATAATTTATGGTAAAGAAATTAATATTATTAAGAAAGTACAAGTTATTACCTTTAATTCGATATTACATATTTTGTCATTATCTACTTTTGGGTTTCAAAAATTTAGTGATAATAAAAAATACAAATAAATACAGCAATTAAACCTCTTATATGGCCGGCGAAAATCCTCGGACTGAACCCTCCGCGAGGGTGCCGGCTGGAAATGGGCACTACAGAGCAATCCCGTGCGATGTCGGGAGGGTGTCCAGCTAAGATCAGGGATCAGTGCTGTGTGCTTATGCGTTTTCATCGCTATGCCATACGGAAATGGTCTTTGATCGTGGTCTGGAGGTAGGGGCTGGATCAAGGCGTTACGCGTACCGTACTGAGGATCAGCCTGGCTGGGAGCCCCTAAATAGCCCAGTCGCTAACGGAGCCCTCTGGGAACCAGGCCGCACCCGGTTGCATTCGATGGCCTTACCCTGGGTACTGCGGATCTCTGCCCGGGGCCGACGAACCCTTTCTCCGCAACTCGTGGGAATATGAGCGAATTAAAGAACAAACCAAAAACAACAACAACGGAAATTGAGACCGGCACTCATAAAAAGTCGGAAGGGCAGTTGCCCAGACACCATGGGG